TAGGAGGGAATAAACTGACGGGGGAATTGTTGCATTGAAATGGATAAAAGAGGAATGAGTTTTTCTTTTTCACTTCACTGAGAGCAAAGAAGATAAAGAAGACCAGTGAGCAGGACTGAACATTCCTAGTTTATTTTACTTTAACTGCTCCTGATTCCAAATGTCTGTAACTAAGTTTGCTTTTCTGCCTCCGAACTCTGCAGGAGTTACGCTTCACTTGACTCTATGCTAAATACATCCTCTATCTGTATCTGATGTTTACCTTTACAACAGCCTTCCCCTTGTAGTTACATGTCAGAAGAAAGGCCTCAGAGCCACCAAACTGCCAGATGCAGGGTTACTGATGTCAGTTTATGACTGTCTTTGAAATGATGCAAGAGGAAGAAATCAAGATCCTATCACCTTTGTTTCCTTATCACCGCCTCGTGACTGCTTCTGACTGTGAGCACCTGCTTTAGGGACACAGTTCTTGAGGCAGGAGCATACTGTGTTCCCCTGTCCACTACCTGAGAATAAAAGCCACTGTTCTATTTCTTTCAAAAAAAAAAAAAAGTTTTATTCCAAATTACCCTTTAAACATTTTAATTAGCATATAACTTTTACTGTATATAGTATTTTACAACCATAGTACATGTGTATATGATACCTCAAATAACAATAAACATATCAGAGGTAGCTTTTCCAATTTTTCCAGAGAGGTACAGCAAAGGAGATTTCCAGGGTTCCCGCAGCATCTAATGTGCAGTATAGACACAACCCTGTAGGACGTCATTCAAGTTCAACCCCAACTATATGCGGATGCAAGGCTTCTGGAAAGAGGACTCGTAACCCCACCTGGCCACATTTCCTTCTCTCTTTCATCAAATGGAGAAAAAAATAATGCTCCCTCATGGCGCGGAGTCAAACCTGACTCTGCCACTTACAGGCAGTGGCCTTAGGCAACTCCCTTCCCTGCTCAGAGCCTCATACCCGCCAAGGTTCCAGGGCACCCAGAGAGGAGAGAGCTCAAAAGTGTGTGTGAACCGCCCCCAGGGCCTGCAGCTCTCTGCCTGACATCAGCACCTCTGCCTGCACTGAACTGGCCTGGAGTCCGGGCTGCCAGGCTGTGTTCCCCAGCAGAGTGAGTGGGTGATGAAGACGACACGGCTGTGGGGTCCCTGTTTGGACCCTCACCCGCCTCGTCCCGAGTCATCGCCCTGGGTTCTCTCCTTGCCCCCTCTGTCGGGTGGGAACCGCCATCACATGGGTCTCAGAGGGTTAATGTGAGGGGAAAATGACAACACAAGAAAGGCATGAACCTGTGCCTCTGGGGATAACCAGCGCTGCTAGAGGTCAGGAGAGGTCGCCGGGGGCGGCTCAGAGAGCTGGGCCAGGAGACAAGTGACCGCAGGGAACACCGAGGAGGCAGCCAGGGCGGGGAAACCAGTGTGTGACCCAGAACACCTGTCACCCTGTGCTCTGAGGATACTGGCACTGGGTCCCTGGCTTATATTTTCCAAAGGGGTTTTTTGTTAATGTTGCCGTGAGAATAGGAAAAATTCTGCAAGTTGTTCGGCCTCCCCAGAGGAAAGGGGAGCCATCCGAGACTGGACTTCTCGAGGACTCGGGAGAAACCGCACTAGGCGTGTGTGGGGTGCACACGCGTACACTGAAAGATGGCAGGCAGAAGAGAGGAACCGCAGAGGAGGTGAGAACCAAGTGACGGAGGGGGAGCTGACAGGCTCCCACCAGGGTCCCTGCTGCCCCCTCCCCTCAGTCAGTCACCGATCGGGCCTGTGCCGCAGCTCTGGGACGTGGTCCTGGGACCCGCGCAGGGTCACACATCCTCTAAGCTTCATGCCTGAGGAGAAGCGGGCGTCAGACCAGGCGGGACTGTGGGCGGTCCTCTGCCTTCAACCCTGCGGTACAGGCTGCTTCGCTCCATTTCTCTGTGGGGTGGGGACCTCCTTCCTGCCTCATTCCTCAATTCAAGAACAGCTGCCTTTTCCAGCACATGGGAAATAACCACAGCATGAGTGAGTGATGGGATCCTCGGCAGGACCCAAAATGCAGTGGCGCTTGTTCTCCCTCTCCTGTTGCCTCTATTTCAAACCAACACTGGAGTCAGTGGGAATTCTCAGGAAGCATTAGATCCTGACTGCAGGGGAGCAGGTTGGGTCCCCTGGCACAACAGTGGGGATGGGGGGCTGCTTTCCAAATGCCCCAGGTCCCGAAGCCTCCTGAAAGAGCCCCTGGCTCCTGCCCTCAGCACTGGACCTAGGCCAGAGCTTCCCTGCCTGGAGAGACCCCGAGAGACCCCAGGGCAGCACAGGACCAACCTCCTCTGAGCAGAGCTGATCCTTCTCCTCCGTGACTCGGGTGGCCCCCTTCCCGTCTAGACCGCGGTGTTCTGGTGCAGGCGGGCCTCGACACCCATGGGAGAAACACTGGGGAGGGGCTGGGAAGCCAGGCTGGGGGAGGGACGAAGGGGGTCATGAAGGCAGTGATGGGGGACCCGGGCGCCTGCTAGGTTAGCTGTCCCTGTCATTAGGGAAGATGCCCCTGGCAGCTCCTGTCTCCTGCAGACGCCTGCGCCAGCCTTCTCCCAAAGGTCGCTGGCGCTCTTGCAGCAGATCTCTGCTCTGAGAGCGTTAAGAGCAACTGTGGAAGCAGATGATCCTCTCCGGGGAGGAAGGGTAGTGGGCCCCATGTGTGTCTCCCTGCACCCACGGAATCCTCACTCACTCTAGCATCCAGCTCCTGTCCACCCACCCCTCACTTTCTGAGTCGTCACCTCCACCACAGGCGCTCCTCTGCTCAGATCCATCCTGACCACTGAGTCCACGCTGATCAAGGACAACCTGCCACCCCACACCTGCCTGCTCCCTTCCACCCCCAGACCGCAGCCAGACTCTGAAATGGAGACCTCATTTACATCCACTTGCTCTCTGGGGCCTCTCTCCTCACCTGACCCCACACTCTCTGTGGGTCCAAATTCTCACCAATTGGTCCCCATCTCAGTTATTCCAACACTTAACTGGGTCACATGGCCAGGACAGGGACCCCTCATATTGTCCCAGGCCCTCAGAGGTCCCTCTGAATGGGGAGGGCAGCAAACAGGACAAGAATCTATCACCAGTTCAAGAGAAAGAGACACCCCAGGAGACCCTCAGCAGGAGTGGATCAAACAAGAGAAGCAGGGCGCGGCACTCTCACCGCAGGAAGAAGAGACCCTGGCGCAGGACAGGGCATGAGAAGAGAATCCTGGGAACAACATCCCCCCGCCTGACTCTGGATTCACTGAGGGGCACCTTCCAAACACCTGAGCTCTTGTCCAGGGGCTTCTCAGCTGCAATTTGGGGGGTGGGGTGGGGTGGGGTCCAGAAGATGCACGTCACGGAGCCAAGAATGTGTCTGACTCTGTGCAGAGCCAGGCCCACCACAATCAGATGTGTTTCTAAGACAAGGTGGGTGTTCAAACTCTGAGGAACAAGTCAGTCATGGACCGGATGCTAAATTACAAAACTGGGGTAGCTTGTGGAGCTAATGCAATGAGAAAAGTCTTCCCAAGGATGTACTCACAGCCCAGGGCAGAACCAAATAGACAGAGATCATGTGATTACAAGGCTCCCTTCTTCCCTAACAGGGCAGGACCTCAAATCCACATCTGCAGACTAGAGCAGCCTCGAGGTCACGATCCCCGAATCTGCACAAGGAAGGTCAAGACAAGGACATGAATGGTGAGAACTATGAGGCTCCGGGGTCAACACCTGTGTTGGAGGGAACCACCTTCTGCTCCCCACGGGTCTCCTGCCTCCCAGAGAAGAGGCTCTGGGACCAGACTCAGAATCAGCAGGGACCCCTGGGACCAGCCCTGGTTCTACTACAGGTTCTGTCCAAGGGTAAAATAAATGCAAAATGAAACTCTTCTTTAGGGTCTTCATCCACTGAGAAGAGGGAAAAATCAAAAAGAGCCATGGTCCATACCAAGACAGGTCAGGCTGTGTGCAAAAATCACACTCTTAGGAATCAGAGCTGCCTCCATGAGCAAAGGGCCATGGCCACCAAGCCACTGGCCACTCCAGATTTGCCTCCCGAATCTGGGGGAAGTTTCAGTCACCAGCATGGAATCTTCCTCCCCCCACCCCTCATTCCCCCAGAGGCCGAATCTCCTGAATACTGTCTGTTCCATTTAGAGCGCCGTGCTGGGTATCCTTTGAAGAGGAGTGTCCCCATGACCATGAGCAGGGCGGTGAGGAAGTATTTTGTTTCTCCGACTATGCCTGTGCTGTGCCCTGCCCGGGCTCAGGTTGGGGCTAGACGTCTAGGGTATCCAGGGCTGGGGGCTCAGAGCCTAGAAGTGGCCTCTCCAGCCTTCCTGATCATCTTCTACGGATAGTCACACTGGATCGTGGGGGTTGTGACAAGGGACCCTCACACCAGCTCTTTCTAGGCCTCCTCACTGCACCTGCTTGGAGGTCCAATGACTGTAAATTTCATTGCTTCTTATTAAATGTACGGAAGGATTCAGGAAAATGTTACGGAACACTGGAAGCTTCTACTGGTGAGAAGTATCAGACTCCACCCAAAGACATAGATGAACCAGACTTTGTCCTGTTCCCTCAGCACCTGGAGCTCACGCGGCTGTGGGTCAAGGTCCTGTGAGGCGGCCACAGCGGGCCCCCCACCCTCGGGCCACCCGCACAGAAGGGACAAGACCCCCAGCTCCGGTCAGGGCAGCCCGAGCACACAGGCAGGCGGCTGAGGCTGCTCCTCCCCATCTGCCAGGGGACAGGCAGCCCTGTAGGTTCCCAAACATCCTTTCCTCTCAGAGCTCCAGTGGGGGGCTCGGAAGCCTGGGGTGCCTGGCACAGGGGGGTGACTACCGTGGAGTGAGCGTGGGCTTCCCGTGTGAGCTCCACACCCTAGGGTGCAGCTGAGGGGCCATCAGAAAACCCCTGCTCCTCTTCCTCCCCCTACAAGAGGGCAGGAGCCTCTTATCAGCAAAACGGAGAGGGGAGATGCACGGTACACTGACAGCTTCACAAAGATCTCAACCTGCCCCCAAGCAGATCAGGTGACCTTCCAGCCACTGGTGGGGACTTCCTTCAGAGCTGGGGACACAACACTAGACCTGTGCTCAGGGCACGTCTCCCAGCCAGCCCTGCCCCACTAGGCTGTCGGCAACAGGAACAAGGTCCAGTGAAGCTGAGATGCATTGCTGGGTCTTGGTCTAACAGCTCAGGTCCTAGAATCAGACCAGGGTCAGAAGAAGTATCTGCCTCGTCTGTGGTTTGTCTTGACCTTGACGATGAGATCTCCCCACTGAGAGTGTGCCTTCAGGGAGGGACTCCTGCCCCACGCAATCTTCACACTGGCTGGCTGGCCTGATCGCAGGTCCAAAGGACCCCGAGCTGTCAGTGGTGAAGACGTTCCCCTTGCAGTCCCACCCGCACTTGGGAAATTGAGGTGGAGAGAGAGAGCAAGGTTTTGGGTGGCCAAGTCCCCTGCAGGTGAGAGACAAGGACACGGAGGACTGGGCTCCATCCTCGGAGCTTAAAGTCAGCGCCTGCAGCGAGGTCTTCAGGCTGGAGGACCCCGCGCCCTCCCTAACACTGCTCTGCATGACATCCTGCAGGAGCCCGTCCTGCTGCCAACGACTGGCCTTCAGGTGGGGGCGCCCCTGGGATTTCCATCTGGGCGCAGCCTGGAGAGACCTTCGGCAACAGGCACAGCTCACGGTCCAGGTGGGCCCGCCCTCTCTCACAAGGGCAGCTCCTGGCCTCAGTCTGGACCACTGCTCAGCCCAGATGAGCGACTCACCGCCAGCCCAGCGAGTCTTCTGACACCAGCACGTCCCTGCTGTCTGCTAAGCGCCATGGTAGGGCGGTGGAAGCATTGCTGAAAGAGAAGAGTCACGGGAGCGAGTCACTAAGAGGAGGCACAGGCGTCCTGGGAGTCCCCAGCAAATCAGCAGAGAAACGGACCTCGGGGCCCCCAGAGAGCCCTTTATGCCACAAGCTGGGTGCAGTGTATGTTGACCTAAGTGAGCTGTTACTAGGATAATACAACATTATCCTAGTAATTCCATATAACTGCAAGCACTAAATACATCATTTTGCACATTTTGAAGAAATTTTGAGGGATTGAAGAAGTTTGCCAATTACTGGTGAAATCTGAATTTACTAATTAACCCAAGTGGTCCTCCTCTCTACAACCCAGGTGTAAGGACATGAATCTGGGTGTGTGTGTTGGGGCGGGGAGCGTGCCCTCAGGGTCAGGCACATGGACATCTCCCAAAAGACACCTCTTGGAGACGGGACCATCTACAGGACTGGAGGAGAAGGAGCAGGGCCCCTGGTTCATGTAGGAAAGTCAGTGCCTGGCCCAGAATGAGGCATTTACAGCACCTGCGGATGTTTCAGGGACCAACTGGAAGGCCCCGTATTTGTGTATTTCGCCCTCATCGTAGGTAGGTGTTCCCTTTCTCTGGGTTTTTGTCGGCATTTCTCTCAAGAAACAATACTGAACATGGAAATACCGCTCAGTATGTGATGCTTTCCAGCCTCCAGAGGTCTCAATAAATTCATACTTTTATAAAATACCTTCCGGTATATTGCGCTATTATTGTTAGATGAGGAAGTTTGGGAGTGAGAAGGGGAGGTTCTATGCTCAGTACTTGAAGAAACTGAAGAGATGTCGGCCATGGCGGAGTTCCCCCTGGGTGGCCCGGGACCCAGGGAAAGATCACTTTTTCCTCAGCCCCGGGGGTGTCACAGAGTCGGAACAGCGACAAACTAAGTTGGCTTCTCATACGGAAAATCTCAGAACGTCGGGGAACTTGGGGAGCACGAGTTTCCCTCGACGGTTGAGGCGCCAGTTCATCCCAAAGAGAGTCGGGCGCCGTCTGCTGGCCGTTGGTGAAACGGCGAACGACGCTGCCTCTTCCTTAAGGAATTGGCCGCGCGCTCCTCTGTGCGTTCCTGAAATGAAGGATATTTGCAAGGCACGGTTCTCTGCCGATGGCCTGGGGATGCTTGACCTAGCCAGGCTTATTCTCCATCATCACCGAGAAGACTAGAGAAAAATGGAGAGGGTATCTTGAAAAAAATATGCTTGTCATCAAACGGCTGTTTTTTAAGACTCATGATCTTCATTTATAATTTTCTTGTAGAGACATGGAAAACTATAATGTATCTTTACACAAACTAGCTTTCTTTCAAATCACCTATATCTGCTATATATGTTGGTATTCTTCTTTTATTATTGTTGATATGGTTATTTAAGTATGTTGAGAGTCACCCAAATGGTATTTATGCACTGGATGCCAAGAAAACACGGACAGGTGAGGTATTCTCTCTCCCCACAGATATCTATGGAGTCATGGGGAGCTGTCCTAAGGATGCATCAGATCAGGTCATCAAAGGTAATGATATCCCTGGCAGTGAAGAGAGAGAATATAGCCATACTTAATGTATCAGTACGAGTGAGTGGATTAGTAGGCAAACAGAGGAGACCCAGCAACACTCATGATCCAGCTTTTTTAGCTTTAGGTATCTGGATTATTATATATAATTTTGGCAGTTCATATGGAAACACAGCCCAAATGCAACACCTTGAATGAATTCATAAGAACAAGAAGCAGTACCATCATTTATTAGCTTTAAAAATATTAATAGATTTGTTGAAATACACTTCACAAAGCATACAAGTAATAGTTTTAAAGTGTACAACTCAATGACTGGCATATTCACAAATTGTACAATCTCCACAGCTATCTGATTTCAGGCCATACTCATCACCCACCTCCCAAAAACTCAACACCCATTAAACCATCACTTCTCATTCTTCCCTCTATTAAGCAACAAACAACCACTACTATAAATTCTATTTGAGGATTTGCTTACTATGTAGATTTACTATAGATGTGATCAAAGGCTGGTCGCAGGAATGAGCAGGAACAGTCGGAGGGGAGCATCCCTGGGGCCACCAGCAAAGAAGCCGGTCTCAAGAATCTACTTGATCCCACTAGGCCATCTCGAGAGGATGCGCGCATGCTTCGTCCGCCACTCGGTAACGGCCAGCAGAGGGCGTCTCAAGCGACGCAGAAAACAGCCACAGCCAGCGTCCCTGCGCTCGGGCGCCGCTTCCGGGCGAGAAAACCCTCTTAGTATGTCGCTGTACCAGTTGTGCGACACTCTGCGGGCTGCAGAAATAGTGAGTAAAACGTGGCCCTTCCTTGGTCCTGACCATCAGGGGAACTTAGCTGTGTGCGTTCAGTGGCTAACTTGTTTCAGACTCTTTGCAGCCCCATGGGGCTGTAGCCTGCCAGGCTCCTTTGTCCATGGGGTTTCCTAAGCAAGAATACTGGAGTGGGTTGCCACTTCCTACTCCAGGGGGTCTTCCCCACCCAGGGATCGAACCCGAGTCTCTTGCATCTCCTGCATTGGCAGGCACGTTCTTTACCTCTAGCACCATCTGGGAAGCTGTGGCTGCGATCTCCTCAATTTCTTGGAATACTGAGCACAGAACCTCCCATTCCAACTTACTCTCAATTTTCTCATACATTTAGGGAGATTTATTTTTATAAAATAAAATCCATTTATTGAGACCTTTGGAGGCTGGAAATCATCACATACTGTGTGGTATTTCCATGTTCAGCATTATTTCTTGAGAGAAATGACAACAAAAACCCAGAGAAAGGGAAATCTTATCTATGATGGGGGCAAAATACACAAATATGGGGCCTTTCAGCTGGTCCCTGAAACATCCCCAGTGCTGTAAATTCCTCATTCTGGGCCAGGCGCTGATCTCCCTACATGAACCAGGGCCCTGCTCCTTCAGTCAGCAGACGCCCCTCTCTCCCAGAGGTCTCATTTGGGAGGTGACCATGTGTCAGACCCTGAGGGCCTCGTCCTCCCCATCCCCACAGCCCCTCTGTCCTTGAACCTGGGTTGTAGAGATGAGGACCATTTGGGTAAATTGGTACCAAGGCCAGCTGTCGTTAAACAGATTCAGATTCTCCCAAGTAATTGCAAACTTCTTCAATCCCTCAAAATTTCTTCAAAATGGGCAAAATGATGTATTTAGTGCTTGCAGTTATATGGAATTACTAGGATAATGTTGTATTATCCTAGTAACAGCTCACTTAGGTCAACATACACTGCACCCAGCTTGTGGCATAAAGGGCTCTCTGGGGACCCCGAGGTCCGTTTCTCTGCTGATTTGCTGGGGACTCCCAGGACGCCTGTTCCTCCTCTTAGTAACTCACTCCCGTGACTCTTCTCTTTCAGCAATGCTTCCACCGCCCTACCATGGCGCTTAGCAGACAGCAGGGACGTGCTGGTGTCAGAAGACTCGCTGGGCTGGCGGTGAGTCGCTCATCTGGGCTGAGCAGTGGTCCAGACTGAGGCCAGGAGCTGCCCTTGTGAGAGAGGGCGGGCCCACCTGGACCGTGAGCTGTGCCTGTTGCCGAAGGTCTCTCCAGGCTGCGCCCAGATGGAAATCCCAGGGGCGCCCCCACCTGAAGGCCAGTCGTTGGCAGCAGGACGGGCTCCTGCAGGATGTCATGCAGAGCAGTGTTAGGGAGGGCGCGGGGTCCTCCAGCCTGAAGACCTCGCTGCAGGCGCTGACTTTAAGCTCCGAGGATGGAGCCCAGTCCTCCGTGTCCTTGTCTCTCACCTGCAGGGGACTTGGCCACCCAAAACCTTGCTCTCTCTCTCCACCTCAATTTCCCAAGTGCGGGTGGGACTGCAAGGGGAACGTCTTCACCACTGACAGCTCGGGGTCCTTTGGACCTGCGATCAGGCCAGCCAGACAGTGTGAAGATTGCGTGGGGCAGGAGTCCCTCCCTGAAGGCACACTCTCAGTGGGGAGATCTCATCATCAAGGTCAAGACAAACCACAGACGAGGCAGATACTTCTTCTGACCCTGGTCTGATTCTAGGACCTGAGCTGTTAGACCAAGACCCAGCAATGCATCTCAGCTTCACTGGACCTTGTTCCTGTTGCCGACAGCCTAGTGGGGCAGGGCTGGCTGGGAGACGTGCCCTGAGCACAGGTCTAGTGTTGTGTCCCCAGCTCTGAAGGAAGTCCCCACCAGTGGCTGGAAGGTCACCTGATCTGCTTGGGGGCAGGTTGAGATCTTTGTGAAGCTGTCAGTGTACCGTGCATCTCCCCTCTCCGTTTTGCTGATAAGAGGCTCCTGCCCTCTTGTAGGGGGAGGAAGAGGAGCAGGGGTTTTCTGATGGCCCCTCAGCTGCACCCTAGGGTGTGGAGCTCACACGGGAAGCCCACGCTCACTCCACGGTAGTCACCCCCCTGTGCCAGGCACCCCAGGCTTCCGAGCCCCCCACTGGAGCTCTGAGAGGAAAGGATGTTTGGGAACCTACAGGGCTGCCTGTCCCCTGGCAGATGGGGAGGAGCAGCCTCAGCCGCCTGCCTGTGTGCTCGGGCTGCCCTGACCGGAGCTGGGGGTCTTGTCCCTTCTGTGCGGGTGGCCCGAGGGTGGGGGGCCCGCTGTGGCCGCCTCACAGGACCTTGACCCACAGCCGCGTGAGCTCCAGGTGCTGAGGGAACAGGACAAAGTCTGGTTCATCTATGTCTTTGGGTGGAGTCTGATACTTCTCACCAGTAGAAGCTTCCAGTGTTCCGTAACATTTTCCTGAATCCTTCCGTACATTTAATAAGAAGCAATGAAATTTACAGTCATTGGACCTCCAAGCAGGTGCAGTGAGGAGGCCTAGAAAGAGCTGGTGTGAGGGTCCCTTGTCACAACCCCCACGATCCAGTGTGACTATCCGTAGAAGATGATCAGGAAGGCTGGAGAGGCCACTTCTAGGCTCTGAGCCCCCAGCCCTGGATACCCTAGACGTCTAGCCCCAACCTGAGCCCGGGCAGGGCACAGCACAGGCATAGTCGGAGAAACAAAATACTTCCTCACCGCCCTGCTCATGGTCATGGGGACACTCCTCTTCAAAGGATACCCAGCACGGCGCTCTAAATGGAACAGACAGTATTCAGGAGATTCGGCCTCTGGGGGAATGAGGGGTGGGGGGAGGAAGATTCCATGCTGGTGACTGAAACTTCCCCCAGATTCGGGAGGCAAATCTGGAGTGGCCAGTGGCTTGGTGGCCATGGCCCTTTGCTCATGGAGGCAGCTCTGATTCCTAAGAGTGTGATTTTTGCACACAGCCTGACCTGTCTTGGTATGGACCATGGCTCTTTTTGATTTTTCCCTCTTCTCAGTGGATGAAGACCCTAAAGAAGAGTTTCATTTTGCATTTATTTTACCCTTGGACAGAACCTGTAGTAGAACCAGGGCTGGTCCCAGGGGTCCCTGCTGATTCTGAGTCTGGTCCCAGAGCCTCTTCTCTGGGAGGCAGGAGACCCGTGGGGAGCAGAAGGTGGTTCCCTCCAACACAGGTGTTGACCCCGGAGCCTCATAGTTCTCACCATTCATGTCCTTGTCTTGACCTTCCTTGTGCAGATTCGGGGATCGTGACCTCGAGGCTGCTCTAGTCTGCAGATGTGGATTTGAGGTCCTGCCCTGTTAGGGAAGAAGGGAGCCTTGTAATCACATGATCTCTGTCTATTTGGTTCTGCCCTGGGCTGTGAGTACATCCTTGGGAAGACTTTTCTCATTGCATTAGCTCCACAAGCTACCCCAGTTTTGTAATTTAGCATCCGGTCCATGACTGACTTGTTCCTCAGAGTTTGAACACCCACCTTGTCTTAGAAACACATCTGATTGTGGTGGGCCTGGCTCTGCACAGAGTCAGACACATTCTTGGCTCCGTGACGTGCATCTTCTGGACCCCACCCCACCCCACCCCCCAAATTGCAGCTGAGAAGCCCCTGGACAAGAGCTCAGGTGTTTGGAAGGTGCCCCTCAGTGAATCCAGAGTCAGGCGGGGGGATGTTGTTCCCAGGATTCTCTTCTCATGCCCTGTCCTGCGCCAGGGTCTCTTCTTCCTGCGGTGAGAGTGCCGCGCCCTGCTTCTCTTGTTTGATCCACTCCTGCTGAGGGTCTCCTGGGGTGTCTCTTTCTCTTGAACTGGTGATAGATTCTTGTCCTGTTTGCTGCCCTCCCCATTCAGAGGGACCTCTGAGGGCCTGGGACAATATGAGGGGTCCCTGTCCTGGCCATGTGACCCAGTTAAGTGTTGGAATAACTGAGATGGGGACCAATTGGTGAGAATTTGGACCCACAGAGAGTGTGGGGTCAGGTGAGGAGAGAGGCCCCAGAGAGCAAGTGGATGTAAATGAGGTCTCCATTTCAGAGTCTGGCTGCGGTCTGGGGGTGGAAGGGAGCAGGCAGGTGTGGGGTGGCAGGTTGTCCTTGATCAGCGTGGACTCAGTGGTCAGGATGGATCTGAGCAGAGGAGCGCCTGTGGTGGAGGTGACGACTCAGAAAGTGAGGGGTGGGTGGACAGGAGCTGGATGCTAGAGTGAGTGAGGATTCCGTGGGTGCAGGGAGACACACATGGGGCCCACTACCCTTCCTCCCCGGAGAGGATCATCTGCTTCCACAGTTGCTCTTAACGCTCTCAGAGCAGAGATCTGCTGCAAGAGCGCCAGCGACCTTTGGGAGAAGGCTGGCGCAGGCGTCTGCAGGAGACAGGAGCTGCCAGGGGCATCTTCCCTAATGACAGGGACAGCTAACCTAGCAGGCGCCCGGGTCCCCCATCACTGCCTTCATGACCCCCTTCGTCCCTCCCCCAGCCTGGCTTCCCAGCCCCTCCCCAGTGTTTCTCCCATGGGTGTCGAGGCCCGCCTGCACCAGAACACCGCGGTCTAGACGGGAAGGGGGCCACCCGAGTCACGGAGGAGAAGGATCAGCTCTGCTCAGAGGAGGTTGGTCCTGTGCTGCCCTGGGGTCTCTCGGGGTCTCTCCAGGCAGGGAAGCTCTGGCCTAGGTCCAGTGCTGAGGGCAGGAGCCAGGGGCTCTTTCAGGAGGCTTCGGGACCTGGGGCATTTGGAAAGCAGCCCCCCATCCCCACTGTTGTGCCAGGGGACCCAACCTGCTCCCCTGCAGTCAGGATCTAATGCTTCCTGAGAATTCCCACTGACTCCAGTGTTGGTTTGAAATAGAGGCAACAGGAGAGGGAGAACAAGCGCCACTGCATTTTGGGTCCTGCCGAGGATCCCATCACTCACTCATGCTGTGGTTATTTCCCATGTGCTGGAAAAGGCAGCTGTTCTTGAATTGAGGAATGAGGCAGGAAGGAGGTCCCCACCCCACAGAGAAATGGAGCGAAGCAGCCTGTACCGCAGGGTTGAAGGCAGAGGACCGCCCACAGTCCCGCCTGGTCTGACGCCCGCTTCTCCTCAGGCATGAAGCTTAGAGGATGTGTGACCCTGCGCGGGTCCCAGGACCACGTCCCAGAGCTGCGGCACAGGCCCGATCGGTGACTGACTGAGGGGAGGGGGCAGCAGGGACCCTGGTGGGAGCCTGTCAGCTCCCCCTCCGTCACTTGGTTCTCACCTCCTCTGCGGTTCCTCTCTTCTGCCTGCCATCTTTCAGTGTACGCGTGTGCACCCCACACACGCCTAGTGCGGTTTCTCCCGAGTCCTCGAGAAGTCCAGTCTCGGATGGCTCCCCTTTCCTCTGGGGAGGCCGAACAACTTGCAGAATTTTTCCTATTCTCACGGCAACATTAACAAAAAACCCCTTTGGAAAATATAAGCCAGGGACCCAGTGCCAGTATCCTCAGAGCACAGGGTGACAGGTGTTCTGGGTCACACACTGGTTTCCCCGCCCTGGCTGCCTCCTCGGTGTTCCCTGCGGTCACTTGTCTCCTGGCCCAGCTCTCTGAGCCGCCCCCGGCGACCTCTCCTGACCTCTAGCAGCGCTGGTTATCCCCAGAGGCACAGGTTCATGCCTTTCTTGTGTTGTCATTTTCCCCTCACATTAACCCTCTGAGACCCATGTGATGGCGGTTCCCACCCGACAGAGGGGGCAAGGAGAGAACCCAGGGCGATGACTCGGGACGAGGCGGGTGAGGGTCCAAACAGGGACCCCACAGCCGTGTCGTCTTCATCACCCACTCACTCTGCTGGGGAACACAGCCTGGCAGCCCGGACTCCAGGCCAGTTCAGTGCAGGCAGAGGTGCTGATGTCAGGCAGAGAGCTGCAGGCCCTGGGGGCGGTTCACACACACTTTTGAGCTCTCTCCTCTCTGGGTGCCCTGGAACCTTGGCGGGTATGAGGCTCTGAGCAGGGAAGGGAGTTGCCTAAGGCCACTGCCTGTAAGTGGCAGAGTCAGGTTTGACTCCGCGCCATGAGGGAGCATTATTTTTTTCTCCATTTGATGAAAGAGAGAAGGAAATGTGGCCAGGTGGGGTTACGAGTCCTCTTTCCAGAAGCCTTGCATCCGCATATAGTTGGGGTTGAACTTGAATGACGTCCTACAGGGTTGTGTCTATACTGCACATTAGATGCTGCGGGAACCCTGGAAATCTCCTTTGCTGTACCTCTCTGGAAAAATTGGAAAAGCTACCTCTGATATGTTTATTGTTATTTGAGGTATCATATACACATGTACTATGGTTGTAAAATACTATATACAGTAAAAGTTATATGCTAATTAAAATGTTTAAAGGGTAATTTGGAATAAAACTTTTTTTTTTTTTTTGAAAGAAATAGAACAGTGGCTTTTATTCTCAGGTAGTGGACAGGGGAACACAGTATGCTCCTGCCTCAAGAACTGTGTCCCTAAAGCAGGTGCTCACAGTCAGAAGCAGTCACGAGGCGGTGATAAGGAAACAAAGGTGATAGGATCTTGATTTCTTCCTCTTGCATCATTTCAAAGACAGTCATAAACTGACATCAGTAACCCTGCATCTGGCAGTTTGGTGGCTCTGAGGCCTTTCTTCTGACATGTAACTACAAGGGGAAGGCTGTTGTAAAGGTAAACATCAGATACAGATAGAGGATGT